CCATGGAGGCAGGAAGGAGACTGGCGGCTCCCAGGGGCTGGGGGAGGGCACATGGGGGGCTGAAAATGCTTGAAACTGGTGGTGATGGTGACGCACACAACCTTGGGAATATACAAGGCCACTCAACACTGTTGTTTTTTTTAAAGGTATTATTTATTTGAGAAAGAGAGCATGGGGGGGGAGGGTCAGAGGGAGAAGCAGGCTTCCCCCTGAGTAGGGAGCCGGATGCAGGGCTCGATCCCAGGACCTGGGATCATGGCCAGAGCCGAAGGCAAATGCCTAACCGACTGAGCCACCCAGGTGCTCCCCCGTACACTTTTTTTTAATTGTATTTTTTAAAAAAGATTTTATTTATTTGGCAGACAGAGATCACAAGTAGGCAGAGAGGCAGGCAGAGGAAGAAGGGGAAGCAGGCTCCCTGCTGAGCAGAGCCCCCGACATGGGGCTCGATCCCAGGACCCTGAGATCATGACCCGAGCTGAAGGCAGTAGCTCAAACCACTGAGCCACCCAGGCGCCCCAAATTGTATTTTTTAAGTGATCTCCACGCCCATCCTGGGGCTCGAACTCACAATCCTGAGATCAAGAGTCTCACGCTCTTCCGACAGAGCCCGCCAGGTGCTCCGTGAACTGTACACTTTAAAGAGGCTTTATTTATTTTTTTTCTTTTTCAGTGTAAATTATATCTGAATTTTAAAATGCAAGACCAGCACACACCAAACACCATGTCAAGTTGTTCACGGGAGGAGGCAACACTTTTGGTGACAAAGCAATGCCCACCACTTGCCGCTCTGCCTTTGGGACCTTCAGGAGGCGAGGACCTACCTGAGCATGTAGGTCTGGCTCCTGGGCCCGGAATCACAACAATCAGCGGCTTAGAGAAGGTCGCCAAAGCCTCCCACGAAGTTGAGGCGGAGGGTCTGTCTTGTGGAGCCATCCTGGCCTGGCTCCTTCATCCTGAGGCTGTGGCATCTGTCCCTGACGTAAGGTGCAGTGCTGAAGCTTTGTGTCCCCATATGTCGAAGTCCTACCCCCAGTGTGACAGGGTGTGGTGGTGGGGTCTCTGAGAGGTACGCGAGCTTAGATGAGGACCCAGGATGGGATTAGTGTCCCGAGCACTCTCTCCGCCAGCTGAGGACACAGCAGGGAGGGGACCTTCGCAAGCCGGGAGGAGGGCTGTCTCCCGAACCCGACCACACAGGTGCGCCTCACCTTAGGCCTCCAGGCTCCAGAACTGTGAGAAGTGAACCATTGTGGCTGAAGCACATTTGTTCTCTCCTCTTGAGTTGACCAGGACACTAAGATTGCTCCCCCAGCTCTGGTTCCAGATAGCAGGAAGGGGCAAAGCGGAAGGAGGAGACAGGCTCCCACCTCTGCTTCCCCCGCACCCCCAGGCAGAAGTTCATTATGTTGCAACCTCTAGTTGTTTGTTCTAGTGGCTTTGAAGCCCAGCCTGAAATCAGTGGTAGAAGGGGAAAACGAATCATGTGGGATAAGCAGGTCTGTCCCTGGGCCCATTAGTGGAAACACTGTTTCTCCGTCCACTGCATCTGGCCACACTCCATTTGGCTTGCAATCAGCAGACTCGGGGGACTCTTGGAAGCTGACCAGCTGACTGGCTGTATCTGTTGGCTTGAGCTGCAGAAGCAGCGGCCTCACATCTGACTGGGTTTTGGCAATAGTCTTATTTAGCGTATGAGTTTGTGGGTCAGTTGGCAGCTGGTGCTGGGCTCAGCGGGGTGGTTCTTCTGGGCGCGGCTCATCCGGCCAGGGCTTGCTGGTGCAGCCACGGTCTTCCGGCTGCTCAGTGGGGCTGGTTGGTTTAGGGCAGCCCTGTTTGGGATGGCTGGGACCTCTCTCCATGTGGTCGTATGCTTCTCTTTCTAAGGAGGGACATCTAGGGTTTTCTTTCATACATTTCAGCCTAATCTCACGCTCCCAGAATTGTGTTTATCTTCCTCTGTCATCCTGTGAACGGCTTTTCGTGTTTTGGCAGCTTGATTCTGGGGCTTGGACCCCTTTAAAGAGCCTTCATGGAGGCCCTGCCCAGCAGTGTTCATTGCCATTGGATAGGCCACCCCTCATTGCAAAGAAGACTAGGTCTCTGGCTCACTCTTTAGCTAGCTGGGGCTCTGCCACTTCAGATAAAACCAGGCTTCTATTTTTGAGGATGGAAACACTAGCCGTGGGCAGGCAATTAGTCTGAGACTCACGCCCAGGTCTTGGTGGTCAGACTGGGTTCTTGGGGTCTGACCAGCCCTGTCTTTCAGAATTGGGTGTGCCTCCCACTGGTTTGGGATCCTATAAATGCACACCCAACTTCTCCCTTCCTAACAAATCCACAATGGAGAAGGTGCAGGGAATTATGATCATACCAATTTAGATAATTTTTCCACAGGAAAAAGAGGATTGTGTAGGAACAGAAATCATATGTTAACTTACGTGGCTCTACACATTGGGACAAAATCCCTCTTCTGTAATTACTTTGGCTCCTGATGCTACAGGTAAGCAGAGGAGTTTGAGGGCCCAGGGGATATGTTAGTGTGTCGACAGTCACTAGAAGGTCAGCTACGGCATGTCTTTCACTGTACATCTCTCTTAAATTTAAAAAACTTTCCTTTAACAGTTTTAAAAGATCAGAAATCAGAATTGACCTATACTGTGCCTGGCCCTGTTTTCACACTGGACAAGGGAGCCGACCTGATACTACACACCCCAAGAACCACCAGCGTCCCCCACCCCCAGTCCTTTTATGTCTATGGCCAGCGTTCTCCAGGCCTCATGGGATTTGTAGTTTATTTCTTCCTACAGGCCCAAGGACTTGAGTGGGTGGGCTCCTCCAACATCCCTTGGCAAAAAAGGCTGTTGCCCCTATCCAGATTTTACAGCCTTCTTGGGTTATTTTTCCCACTCTCTGATCTGATCTCAAAGTGCCTGCATCTCTCCTAGCCAGAATTCAGGTTCAGGACACTTAAAGTGAGGATTATTTCGGGCTTTAAAATGCTACGCGGGGGCGCCTGGGTGGCTCACTGGGTTAAGCCTCTGTCTTCGGCTGGGGCCATGATCTCGGGGTCCTGGGATCGAGTCCCGCATCGGGCTCTCTGCTCAGCGGGGAGCCTGCTTCCTCCTCTCTCTCTGCCTGCCTCTCTATTTGCGATCTTTGTCAAATAAATAAATAAATACTTAAAAAAATTCATAATAAAACGCTACGCGGAACGCCTCACTGAGGACTACAAATCCCAGCATGGCTTGCGAGGAAATAGAGCCTGGACTACATTTCCCAGCGTACCCACGTCCAAGAGAGCAAGCAGCAGAGGGGCCGGCGCCTGAAGGCTCTGGGGGCGCTATCATTGTGGACCCCGCCCCTTCATCACCTTTACCGATGTGATCCAAGGGTTACCATGAGGGACTCTGGACTCCTCTTGCCCTTGGGCCTGGTTTTCCCGGTGCTTGGGTTCTGCCTAGGACCCACCGCGCCTCCAGGGGCGGGCCCTGAGGACTACATTTCCCGGCGAGCGTTAGGGCTGCGGGCCGTAGGCCGTGACCTCTGCCCACTTTGTCTCCCATCATGACCTCAGTCACCCGGGGAGGCTGGGACTCGGGTTGTCCCGAAGGCTCTCTGGGTCGGGGGGCGCCCTGGCGTGTTCCGTGACCTCGGGTATCCCTCCATTCATGGGTCGCGTACTCTCGGGCCCCACTCTGGCGCCGGGAAGAAGACAAATGTCCTTGTTCTCCGGGCGCGTACTTCTAGTTGAAGGGAGCCAACCCAAGGGCCCACAGTAAAGGGTCACGTGGGGAAATGGGCGTTATAGCTTTCCCGGCTCCCGGGCCCCGTGGGACCGAGCACTGCGTTTCCCGAGGCTCCCGCCCCGTCACCTGGGAGCCGGGGAGCGGCGGACTTCCCAGCGCGCCCCGGGGCGGAGCGAGGCCGGACGGTTGCCAGGAGCAACTTCCGCTTGCGGACTCCATTTCCCAGCGCGCCCCGCGGCGGCGTCCTGACGCCAACGCGCCGGGCGGAGGCAGACAGATCCTCGGGCGGCGCGGGGCCAGCGGCAGTTCCCGGCGGCCCCGGGCGGGCGGCGGCGGCGGCGGCGGCG